AGACCTTCCCCATTCCAGATCTGAGGTAGCAACCTCAGATCTAACCTCCAAACTCCAAAACATCCCAAGATAAGCTCCCCACAAACCCCAAAATGAAGAATCCACATGAGTAACAGCCCAAGAACGAGTTATTACCTCAAAAGAACTCCCCTACTGCAATGAAACTCGAATCCAAGCAAAGCCCCTTGCTCCAAGCCTCCAAACTCCCAAGATTCCTTCAATAAATACCCTTCAAGCTCCCAAATTCACTATCTACTCACACACGAATGCTAAGGGTTTCTGGACTTGAGGATGAGTAAAGAGGCTGGGGGAATGGATGTTATGTTCTTTATATAAGGCTCAACCCCGATAATTAGGGTTTTCTGCACTCAGCACCTAATCGCCGAGTCCATCTTTGGACTCGCCGAATAGGCCACTTGACATGTGACCAAAGTCGCGACCCTACTCGCCGAGTCCATCCATGGACTCGCCGAGTCCATCCATGGACTCGCCGAGTTGCCCTTCAAATTTACACATTTAGCCCTTCAACTCTACTCTTGATATTCCGGGATGTTACAACGACCCTCTGGTCCATGTGTCTTGGCGGAACACTCCAGTCCCGTAACTCGTTGGGCCCTCTGGCCCGGTCTAAATCGTTGGACCCTCTGGTTCGGTCTGTATCGTTGGACCTTCCAGTCCGGTCTACACAATCATATAGCATACAAATATCACATAGCACATAGATTCACATAATCTCATACATAACACATAAGACCCTCCGGTCCACATAAATACCACTCCAGGTAACATATAGTGAGAAGACCCACCTCGTGTAGCTCGGTAACTCGTAAATCTCAGAAATCTCGGACTCCGTGGAATAAGACCTAGCCTCCGCCTAATCATATGAAATAAGTACTTGATATTAACACATTTCCCAAGGCTAGAACATCCCTTCTCTTAATACTCTCATGAGGGTAAAAGACCCTTTTACCCTTCACATGGCTCAAATACCCTAAAGTTGACCAAACCCTAAAAGTCAACAAAAGTCAACCCTTCGGGTTACGCTGCGCGTACCAAACATGTACGCTGGGCGTAACCGATAACTTTAGAGGATCGGGGTGCGCCACCCCCTACATGTATAGATTAGTATATAAACAACATTAGGGTAAACCCTAATGTTGAGTTCCTCTTTGTGACGGTCTTTGTAACAAAATGTCTCCTTGGTGTAGACACCTCTTTCTTGGTGAAAGACAATTTGGAAAACTCCTTATGATATTTACTTTCTTTTCTTTATTTTGATTAGATTATTTTCCTTTTGTTCTTTATACTCGATGAACACAACTTCTCCATATGGAAAACTAAGTCCATGGTTTTTCTTTAAACCATGGACTATGAGATGCATACAACTATTGAAAAAGGTCCTCACATTCCTTTGTGTCAACCTATGGCCAACAATGCTCCAGTTGGTCCCCTGAAGCAAAAACCACAGATCAATTATGACAAAGAAGATAAAAGGCTGATTAATCTTGATGTAAAGGCCAGAGTAGTGATAGGAACTCTCTTCCCTATCACATGTATCATCTTATGTAGAATTATGAATCAACCCAAGAGATGGTGGAAATAATGATAATTGCTCATAAAGGTATTGTGGAAGTTCAGGCCACAACCATCAACAACCTCAATCGAATATAGGAGCATTTCTTTGCTCAACAAGGTGAGTCCTTAACCCAAGCCTTTAATAAGCTTAATTGTTTGCTTAATGATATGCGTAGGCTAAGAATCGTTAAGCATTGCTCCTACTTGGTTCTAGAGTTCCTAAATTCTCTTGGGAAAAGCTGGGAAAATTATGATGATGTCCTTAAGAATAGTGAAAATATCAATTCCATAGATCTAAACTCCTTGTTGGGAAATCTGCAAAATTACAAAGAGACTAAAGCTCTTTTTAAGAACATCATGAAGGACTCAAACAAGGAAAATTTTGTTGTCTTGGTGTCTCGAAAGGAAGCAATATAGCACATCAGGGACTCATATAACTTAGATAAGCATGAAGAGAGTGATGAAAATCTGACTAAAAAACTCGTAGCGAATGTTGCACTTATTTTCGAATGTTATGAATAAAGCATATCAAATGGGGTTCAAAGAGCTTAGTTTAAGGGAGGTAGTTCAGCAAGGAGATCCTTTTCAGAAAAAAACAACTTAGGTAATTGTTTTAATTATGGTAGCCTTGGCCATTTTGATAGGGACTACCAGAGAAGAAAGAAGTTCAAAGTCCTAAGAAAAATGAAGTTTTATACAAGAAGCTGGTAACCCACATGAAGAAGGAGATTGTTCATTTTCCAAAATCTTTCATTGCAAAAAAGAGGATCATGAAGAATAGGTGGAAGAAGAGGAAAAATCTAAAGATGAGGGGCTGAATGTTAAGGGTCTAATGGCTCTTATCAATGTCCAATTATGATAATCTCAAAATTCGTGACACTAATAAATATCACGTTGTTCAAGGATTAAGTCTAAATCTCTAGATAGAGGGTGCTCAAGACACATGAGCGGTCTCAATTTCCTCTTAACAATCTTTGTGAAAAAGATGGTCCCAAGGTGGTTTTTGGCGATAAAAATGAAGAAGTTGTCACTGTAATAGGAACTTTAGAGTGTAGGGCGTTCATGTTGAAGGATGTGTTCTATGTTAAAGGCCTTATGTGCAATATCATATCCATCAGCTAACTTTGTGATGCTGGTTACAAAGTTCTTTTTGATTACAATGAAGGAAACATTTTTTATTCTGAGGACAAAATTGCGCTTACTACACTCAAGGACAACAACGTTTATATGGTTTGATTTTCTTGGCTTAGACATTGCTAATTTATTTGTTTTTACTTTATGCCTTGCTACTTTTAAATTTCTAAACATAAACTACTAGATTTTTTTTATTCTATATAACGTTTTTTGCTTCAAAAGTTCTTTTTAACTTTTATTTTACCAAAGGAGTATACGTTGTTCATTTTTCTACTAACATTACCTATGTATGATCTTCTCTCTCACCCTCTAAATGTATCCGGATCCTCTGTCTCCATCTTTACATTGATCTTAAGTGATTAGTTAAGCGTATCACTCTTAAATGCATCACCCTCCTTGTATGAGCTAGTTGATGATGGCCCTTCATCTTTTCTTCAGCGCCAATTTCTATCTCCTCGATATTGATACTCATCCTATCTGACATGTTGTTTCATGTTGCTGAGACTAGATAGTAGAGAACTGTGCCAAATGATGTTCTTCTGGATGCATATTTCTTCTGTCTTGAACAACCTATTTATGTCTCAATGGGATAAGGTGAACTTGGGTGACATAACACATCTAATTTCCATTGACATTGTCACTACAACACCATCCCCTCAGATATCCAAAAGCATCTTCAACAAGAGAGCAGTCCCAACTTCTCTTTCTTCATGGATCATAATGATTAGAACCTTCGAGTTTTGTCTTGGTGACTTTTATAACTCGAAGGGTACAAGATTGGATCATTTTAACTTTTTGGTTACAAAGACAATTTCACTCTCTTCCTTCGTTCCTATTGACATAAGCTAGGAATCAATTTATAATATCTAAAGGATTATAGGTATTCTCCATCTTTGTTTACTATGAATTGTGTTTTTATTTGATATACTTGATCGTGTTTGCTCTCTTTTATATAGAAGTCTTGAAGGGAATACATCTCGGAAAATGGAAGTACACTTATGGCCATTCAATTCAAAATATTTGGTGGATCGAGTTTTTCTCATATATCTAAAAAAGTTGCACAAATATCGTTTTTTGAATATTTCCTTGTCTAACTATTTTATTCTTATACTATTCACCATGTTGTCTTGTTCAATATTAAATGAACTGATGATGAACTTTATAGTTCTAAACTACAACTTAACTTTATGATACGGAAGTTATAACACTTATTGTAGATGAGTTAAAACCGTTTATGATTCACACTGATTCCACATCAACGTGACTGAAGCAATCATTTATTTCATTTAACTTAGTAATAAAAATTAATGATTTATTATGATATACCATACACTGATATAAGTTTGATACTCTGTGTCGATGGTTAGTCTATGTACCGTAGGCTATCACCTGCACCAACCTATTCTTACCCTTATATTCTTCTATAAATCTCTACAATTCAACAAAATTTACCATACGTTGATGAGAGATTCACATATATATGCCGATGGTTAAGCTAAAACACCACAACTTATCACATGTATCAAACTATCCAATCCATAAATTCTTCTTTAGAATTTTATGATTCAGCGTATGATACAAAACGCTGATGAGAATTCAAAAAATATACACCGATGGATATATCATTTTCTGTGATATATTTCATGCACCTACCCACTCTTTCCCAACAATTATCCTATTAAGAAGTTAATGATTATTAGCCATACACTGCTAAAACTTCAACACTCTTTTCTGGTGGGTACATTTCATACCGAATGTATTGCACACACCATACTACTCTTTCCTTGTTCTTCTAATTATAGTGATTAATGAGTTAGCGTATGAAACCAAACGCTGATGAGATCTCGGAATACTATGTTAGTGAATGGTAGTTTAGGCTCAAACCATCAGGAGACATCACAAACTTACTGGGTGACCATCATCAATTCACTTGTTAATCAATTACGCTAATGTTCATTGCCGTTGATGACATGTCTCACTAGTGTAACTTTCTTATCTCAATGGTAACATTTTGGATAACTATTAAAAGTTCATTATTTAGGGATACAAGATTTTAATGGAGCTTATCTTTTCAATCACGATTACATAAAAAAGAAGAAACTTTTTGGTATAAATTAGGAATTTTCCTTCCTAGGTCACTCTTACAATCTATTCAAGGAATTCTCTCTCTTTCTCTCTCTCTCTCTCTCTCTCTCTCTCTCTCTCTCTCACTCAACCTACTCTCCCAACCATCATCTTTCTCAAAGCTTTCACCATGTCAAAGCCTATATGCTAGTTTTCCCTGAGCGCTAATGTCATCAAAGGTCCTCATGTCCTCGATTCTCCCATCATCATTCAAGCAAACAATGCGGCATTGTCTGATGAAATCCCAAAGACGTTTGCGAACTAAGGAATTGAAGACTTTGTCGAATATGTCAAGAGTTGTCCTCTTCGATATGCTTTCTGCAACTTCCCATATCCATCCTACCCTAAACAGGTATGTGAGTTCTACTATTCAAGCTCTATTGATACTGATACTTGAACCATTACTGGAGCCATTGGAGATGGTCAATATAGGGATAGTATTGATGTGGAATCCTTTCGAATTACTCTCCGTCTTCCTCGATTAGAAAATTACTCTGAAAATGCTTTAGAAGATAGGTGCAATTCTATTTATGAAAGATTAGGGTATAACTTTAAAATTAAGGGCACCACACATGATCCATACAAAATACAGTATTCATCAATGTTTTAGTTTAAGGTAGAAGTACTTAATTGGGGTTATTGGAAATGCCTTAGACACAAGACTGTGAGTTTGGATCAACTAAATCTTTTTTATCAAGGGTTTTTTCTATTGTGTAAAACAGAAGACTAGATTTTTCTCAACTTTTTCTTGATCAGTGATTGACTGCATCGCCAGGAACAAGAAGCCACTGTATTTTCCCTATCCCGGTTGGCTTGGATTGATCTTATCTCTTGAGGTAGGCTATGTTGAAAGTCATGGGATTATCATTCCAATTTTTTTCCTCTCCTCAAAGATCATTAATACTACTCCTACTAAAGATGACATGCATATTACTATGAGGATGAAAAAATGGATTAACAAATCATATGTGATTAAATCCTCTGACTCCGAAAAAGAGAATGATGAGGATGATAATAATGACGATGAAGAAATTGGTAATAATGAAGGGTCTAATGAAGAATATGAAGGGTTTTGAGTATTCTAATACTCCTAAGGTGTACATGCAACACTAGAAACCTTGGATCTATGTTTTACTAAGATACATGCAAAAATGATTTTCCAAGGTTCTTAACTTAACTAGCATCGCATGGGTAACTTTAAAACATAAATGCTAGTAGAAAAAACATACCTTTTAGTTGCTTGGATTCCTTGAGAACCTTGTGAGCCTAGCACCTCAAATGTGATGCCTCCAATGTCTCATACAACACCAATTTACTTAGAATAACTTTGAGAGAAGTACACTTACACCTCAAAACTGGTTAGCCCCTATTACTTGCTTGCAGTAGTGCCGATTTTGGTCATCCATGGGGTCTTTATATAGTTGTGTCACAAGTAGGGTGACACCATGTAAACCCTAATTGTCATGGATTTTCATATTCCATGATCCATGGGTTTATAACCTCCATGGACTATCCATGGAGCACCTTATGGGTTTTAACCCAATCCATACAAACCATGGATCATTGGCCCAACTATACAAAAATAAATGATTTACACAATCAACCCCATATATTTAATTAGTCTCTTTTTGATCACTTAATTAATTCCAAATTAGGTATTTGATCAAAACTATTTAAATAATATTATTAATATTTTAGAACTTATAATATATTAATAATCCTTAAGTGTCCTTTTGGTAATTTAGTGTATCCAAGTGTTCCAATCTCATGCAACCGAAATGGACCATGCTAACCGGGTCAATTACATTCCAGGAATAGTTATGAACTTAGACACCTAATCCAACAGTCTCCCACTTGGATAAGTCTAATAACTATAACTACAAGAATGACTTTAGGAACCGATCAACAATCTTAGCTCTTTCAAGGTCTTGCGGAACTGAGATGATGATGATATGCCATTTAAGATAAGTGATCATATAATCATCTGTTCTTGATATTAGCAGGACAAATACATGGAGCAATGTCTTACTTATTGTCCAACAGTTTGTTTACTGATTTCCGATTTGTTTGACATAGAACTTAATCGAACACATCAATTTAGTTCTGATTGGGCCCGGTACATAAGTCAAAACAAAATCATCGAGGGGCCCAAATATCGCTTTTAATCCAAGAAGGAACAAATAAAATTTGATTTATATGCTTGTTCTACCACATGTTGAATCATACACAAAGGCACGTTTTATAACATCGAGTCACCAATGCGTTTTCTTATAATCAATGTATAATTAACTCATAGTCAACAACTCATATCTCTAGCTTTGAATACTTATATGATATTACAATCTCATGATCACTTGAGTAGATTCCATGAAGTGATACAAGTGAGCATGGGTTGAATCCAATACTCAGAACTTATGAGCACTCATGAGTGTTGTAGTACCTTTGCTATGTCCAACAACTTAGATATCTACAAGCCAACTCATGACAATCTTGATTCATATCTACTTCCAACATATGAATGAATGTGGAGAATTTGAATAATATGATATACCATAACATAATTATTTTGGAAGTCAAAACATGCAAAATGAAATGATAGTAAATGATTGAAAAAAGATAGCAACACTTATACTTATAAATAAACAACAACTTTTATTTATCATCAAATGCCAATTACACTTTACAAATTTCAAAGCTATCTAACTACTAAAACTAATATCATCCTTCAGCCCTATGTGCATCGCATGCCGGAGATGCTTAACCCTACCCAATCCCTTTGTGAGGGGATCTGCTAGGTTCTCATCCGATGATACTCTCTTTGCCATGAGGAGTACTTCTTCTATTCGATGTCTAATGAAATGATATTTTCTGTCGATGTGTCTGGATCTCCCATCATCCCTTGGTTCCTTAGCTAAGGCAACTGCACTTTCAGTATCATAGAAAATTTCCATATGTTCCTTTATAGTCGGTACAACTCCAAGGTCTCCAATGAATTTATTTATCCATATAGCCTCCTTTGATACCTCACTTGCTGCAATATACTCTGATTCGCAAGTTGAATCAGCCACTATCTCATGCTTGGAACTTTTCCAAGTAATTTCTCCTTCGTTTAAGGTAAAGACCCAGGTTGACTGGGAGTGGAAGTTATCCCTATTAGTCTGGAAGCTTACATCACTATACCCTACTACTCTCAAGTCATCACTCCCACCGAGGGCAAGGACCCATTTCTTTACCACAGTCCAGTGAGGCTTGCCAGGATTCCCATGATATTTGCTGACCATGCTCAATGCAAAGGCCACATCAGGATGAGTACAAGTCATAGCATACATGATCGAGCCTATAACGGAAGCATACGATACTCGACTCATCTCAGATATCTCAACCTCTATACTCTGGCTCTGAGTCTTACTCAGTTTGGCGTTACTCTGGATTGATAACTCTCTATTCTTGGAATTCTGCATGCTGAACCTATTCAACACCTTATCCAAGTAGGTACTCTGACTAAGTCCAATTAGTCTTTTACTCCTATCTTTCAAAATCCTTTTCCCTAGGATATAGGCAGCTTCTCCAAGGTCCTTCATAGCGAAACACTTCCCAAGCTAGGACTTAACCTCCTGCAAAGTTGGAATGTCATTTCCATGAGTAGTGTGTCATCCACATATAATACCAAAAAAGATAGCTATACTCCCACTAGCATTGACATATATACGAGATTCATCTTCATTCCTCAAAAAGCCAAATTCTTTGACTTTCTCATCGAAACAAAGATTCCATCTGCGAGGTGCTTGTTTCAATCCATAGATGGATTTCTTAAGCTTACAGGTACTCTATACTGACAAAACCCTCTGGCTGACTCATGTAAACATCCTCAGTCATCTTTCCATTAAGGAAAGCAGTTTTGACATCCATTTGCCATATTTCATAGTCATGAAATGCAACAATAGATAACATAACCCTAATAGACTTAATCTTTGTTACTGGTGAAAATGTCTCATCATAATCAACTCCCGGAGTTTGAGAAAATCCCTTTGCAACCAGTCGCGCCTTATAAGTGTGTACATTACCATCCATGTCGGTCTTCATCTTGAAGATTCATTTGCACCTGATTGTTTTACGACCTGGTACATTTTCAACCAAGTTCTAAACTTGCTTGTCATACATGGACTGTATCTCCCTGTCTATAGCTTCTTTCCATTTAGCAGCCTCAGGTCCTGCCATGGCTTTCGTGTAACTGTTAGGTTCATCCAAACCTATTAATGTGTTATCACTGGTAGGAGTATCACCTGCTGCAGTAATATAGAAACCATAGTAATGCTCAAGTGTATTCCTAACTCTTGTGGAATGCCTCAAAGGTACATACTCGTCAGTTGGATCAACAGGAGTTTCCTCCTCAGGTTGATTGCTAGGGTTTGAGGTTCCTTCACCACTTGACTCTTTAATTTCTTCAAGATCAATTTTCCTCCCACGTTTCCTTGGCTTATGAAATCTCTCTTGTGAAAGACTCATCTTCTTGCTACATTGACCACATTAACACTGGGTCTGTAGAATGAGCTAACCAAAGGATTTATGTGGGTTGCTGATGAAAATACACCTCTCACTTCGAGGTTCGAGCTTATCGTGAGTCTCGCGCTTCATGAAAGCCTCGCAACTGCAAATCTTGATGTGGTCTAGATTGGGAAGTTTTCCAGTCCACATCTCGTGAGGTGTTTTGGCAACATTTTTGGTAGGGACTAGATTAAGGATATGGGCGGAAGTCTCTAAGGCATACCCCCAAAATGAGTTTGGTAGCAGAACTCAACTCAGCATGGAACGAACCATGTCCAACAAGGTTTGATTACGCATCTCAGCTATACCATTAAGTTGTGGTGTCCTGGGAGGTGTCAATTGTTAGACAATCCCAGATTCCTTAAGATAGTCAAGGAGCTCTGTATTAAGATACTCATCACCTCGATCGGACCGAAGCATCTTAATGTTCCTGCCCAATTGATTCTCCACTTCCTGCTCAAACACTTTGAACTTTTCAAAGGTTTATAACTTATGCTTGATTAAGTAGACATATCCATATCTACTAAAATCATCTGTAAAAGTCATATAGAAGTAGTTAGCATCCCTTGCGGCGGTTCTGAAGGGTCCACACACATTAGTGTGTAATAGATCCAACAAACCTTCACCCCTAGCACAAGAACTAGTGAGGGGTGTTTTTGTTATTTTTCCAAGTAGAAAAGATTCACAACTATCATCTGACTTTAAGTCAAATGACTCCAAGACTCCATCCTTTTGGAGTTGGCATATGCATTTCTTGCTTACATGTCCAACACAATAATGCCACAATGATGCTTTATCCAAGTTAGTGGATGAATCAATACACAACACATTATTTCCTAGGTTATCTACAAGAAACACAGCTTCATACACACCATCACAAGGTAATGCTTTAAAATAAAGAACATTATTAAAGAAAGCATTAACACTACCACATTCATTATCAAAAGAAAAGGTAAACCCTGGTTTGTACAAAGCATGAAAGGAAATAATATTTCTCACCATTTCAGACGAGTAACAACATTTATTCAAATATAATGTTAACACACTACATAGCAACAAAGTATAAACTCCAATCTTGGTGACATGTGATGCTTTCCTATTCCCCATGATTAACCTTATATTCCCATGCTCCACATCCTCACTTCTCTTAGTCCCTGCAAATCAGAACAAATAAGAATACCACAACCAGTATCAAGGATCCAAGAATTAGAATGGGGTGAGTTCTTGGACAATATAGCGTAAAAACCTGTGTGGTTGGGTTTCACTTTCCCATCCTTCACATCTTGTAGATACTTTGGGCAGTTTCGCTTCCAATGCGACTTTTTGTGGAAATAGAAGCATTCAACATATTTAGGGTTGGCAAAAGGAGTGACGGAACCTTTCTTGGTTCCACTTGAAGAGGAGCCATCAAGGGACTCTCCCTTAGTACCCTTCTAAGGGCTCTTCCTCTTCTTCCCTTTGCCTTTCCCGATAGCCAAGACAAGGGCCGCAGCAGGAGTAAGAGTGGTAACAACTGGCTTACCCTTAAGATCACTTTTGGCGGTCTTCAAGAGTCCTTGAAGTTTGCTGAGTGTAACTTCCTCCTTGTTCATGCGGTATGTCATTCAAAATTGATCAAAATAAGAAGATAAAGAGTGCAAAATGATGTCAATTGCCAACTCCTTAGGGAAGTTCATATTTAGCTGCAACAACCGGTCAACATACCTTTGCATTTTCTGAAAGTGGCCGGTGATGGGTTCACCATCCTTGATTCGGGTTGTTATCATGGAGCAGATGATGTCATACCTCTCTTGGCGAGCACTTTGATGGTAGCAGTCCATCAAGTCCTGGTGCATCTTAAAAGGGTAATAGTCCTCATAGGACTTTCGGAGCTCGACTGTTATCGTGGACAACATGACACAAGCCACTTTAGTGACATCTCTCTCATGAGTCCGGAATTCAGCGATCTCCTCAGGAGTAGCAGATGACTCATCAAGTTCCTTAAGCGCATTGTCAACATATTCCATGTCCTCGTAATGAGTGACCATCCTACTATTTCGGATCCAATCCATAAAGTTGGAACCATTGAAGATGGCTCTCCCACAAAGGTTCATGAGAGAGAAGGAGTCGGTAGGGTTTGAGCCAGAAGCAACATTGTTTGAAGACATCTGCAAACGAAGAAAGACAAGTTTAGATTAGATATAAAGATAGTCCTTAATAAAACACCCAAATGTAATATTTAGGCTAGGACCCAGCACAATATTTTATAACTTATAAGAGGGATGCTGAAATCGAAGCTATAAAATATTTGAAGGTAGGTGAATGACGATTCACTAATTTCCACCATGAAAAATGAAATAAATTATTAGGTTTTAATTCGTTTTTGAAACTCCTAGATTCTTTGAGATTCATTGAACTTTTCAATGGTATGTTTTGATCTCGAGTGTACCCTTCAAGTTTTGTGACTGGGATGCCGAGGATCACAAAACAAAGTGTGAAGTAACCATGTAGATTACTTGGTACCCTTAATGTTTGTCACTCAATCGATGTGCCGGTTAACCACACACTCTCCACCGACCTATGATAAACCTTAAGTCACCCTTTTCCTACCTTGTAAAGTCCATGTTAGTGTGCCGGCTAACCACAGACACTCCAGTAACCACTTTAAGCAACATGCAAAGTGTAATTTCATCGGTTAGCACCTTATTCACATTTTCCTAAAGTAACTAAGATTAGGAATTTTTAAAAAATTTAGTTACTTTACATTCATCTTACTTTTAATGTGGATTTAAGTCCTACCCGTTCAACTAACGACCCTCCACCAGGAAAGGAAGCGGTGGGTGATAGTGGACACACATTAAGCTGCCATTTTATAGGCAACAACCTTATACCCCCTTATAGATCGGCATTGTGAATGAGGCCTACTAACGGTAAAATGACTTTTGTTCTTATACATATATATTACTAACTTATAATATTATAAAGTATAAGGGTTGAATTTTTTAACTTTTAAAATTCTAGGGGTTGGGACTAAAGTTTTTAAAGAGAGTTTACATGTTCCAAAACTTGAGGGCAAGTTTTGTAACTTTCAAAACTTTTCATCTTTCATAACTTATGAGTTAATGGTTTATTAAAATGAGAGACTTTTCATTTTATGTAACCTATGTGTTTCATAATGGACTTTAAAAGTGTGACTTTTAGTAACCCATAACTTGAGGACAAATTATGGATTCCATTAAAACACATCAAATCAAGAATTAAACTAATAAGCTAGTTACAAATAATTCCTATGATCTTCTAAACACATAAGTTCATGAATGTTCATATCAACAATTTCAAGAATCATAAATAAAGCATAAAAAACTTGAAAAATTGATATTAGCCATTGAAAATGGATTAGCATAACCATTACACCATCTAGAACAGGTTTTACAAGACCAAAACAGTTTAGGGTAATATTTCTAGTCCATTTCCAGCAACAAAACTCGAAAATATGCAATCAGGGGCTCCTAATCGTCGAGTGCACGAACGTACTCGATGAGCATGATGAATTATAGCATGGACTCGTCGAGTCCCCCCCCCCCCCCATAGTCTTGACGAGTTCACTCAGCAGATAGTAGTTTTTTGAGTTTTTTCAACAAGTTTGCATCAAGTATTAAATAAACAAGCCTAGGCTCTGATACCACTAAAGTGTTTTGAGCATTCTAACACTCCTAAGGTGTACATGCAACCTTAGAAACCTTGGATCTATGTTTTACTAAGATACATGAAAAAATTATTTTCCAAGGTTCTTAACTTAAATAGCATGGCATGGGGAACTTTAAAACATAAATGCTAGTAGAAAAAACATACCTTTTAGTTGCTTGGATTCCTTGAGAACCTTGTGAGCCTAACACCTCAAGTGTGATGCCTCAAATTTCTCACAAAACACCACAATACTTAGAATAAATTTGAGAGAAGTACACTTAAACCTCAAAATCGGCTAGCCATCTATTACTTTCTTGTAGTAGTGCCGATTTTGGTCATCCATGGGGTCTTTATATAGTTGTGTCACAAGTAGGGTTACACCATGTACACCCTAATTGTCATGGCTTTTCATACTCCATGATCCATGGGTTTATAACATCCATGGACTATCCATGGAGCAACTTATGGGTTTTAACCCAATCCATACAAACCATGGTTCATTAGCCCAACTATACAAGAATAGATGATTTACACAATCAACCCCATATATTTAATTAGTCTCGTTTTGATCACTTAATTAATTCCAAATTAATTCTTTGATCAAAACTAATTAAATAATATTATTAATATATTAGAACTTATAATATATTAATAATCCTTAAGTATCCTTTCTCTCATTTAGTCTTTCCAAGTGTTGCAATGCCATGCAACCCAAATGGACCATGCTAACTGGGTCAAGTACATTCCAGGAATAGTTATGAACTTAGACACCTAATCCAATAGAAGAAGATACCAATAAAGATGAAGAGGAATCTACCACTGATAAACAGGGAGAAGATCTTGCTTATGGAATGGACTCTACTCCAATGATGAACAAGCACATTTGATTTTCATCAAGTTATTCATCCACTCCCTCTACTAATGATGTTGTACAACATTGACCAACCTCTCCTTATTTGTAAATTGTTGAGCCAATAATCCAAGATGTAACTTTTACAAAACTAGTGTCTCCTCCTCCTCCTCAAGTTGAGACTGTTCCTCCTATGCCAACTCTATTCAAGACTGGTGCCTTTCATCAGGCTAATCAGCAAAAATCCAGCTCCAACTTTCAAACTGATATGCTTTCCCATCTCTCTCTCTAATAGTGTAGATAACTTAATCACTGGAAAAGAGGTTGAGTAAAGTAGAAAGGGATGTGGCTAATATGAAGCATTTTATGGCCTTTATTGATGATGATGATGATATGCTTGTTGATGACACCCCACCAAACTCTCTAGGTGATAATTCTCCTCCACCTCCACCTCCATTATCAAATCTTCCTCCATCACTTCCTCCACCATCTCATTGTCCTCCTCGTACTCCTTCATCACTTCCTTATTCTCCTGAATATGATGTTGCCAAAGGGGGGGGGGGGGTAATAAAGAGAGACTTGATCAGAACATACAAATGGTGGTGATTGCACCAACTCCATCTTAGCTTGAGATGTCTGAAACTGGAAGGGCTGAAGCTGACCTTCAAAAGGAAATTGTTATTGCTAACATTCCATATGTTGTTACAAAAATTGATCAGCCTATTCCAGACACTGGTAATCAATCAGAGACTGATGATTATAAAGGGTTTCTTGATGTTGGATTCATGCCACCTGCCAATGTGCCAGTTGTTCATTTTAAACTTGCCTACCGTGATTCATAATTTGATGGGGAGGTTCCTCAAGGAACTAATAGTGACATTGAGTTTGATCAGTTTAATCCTTAAAAGAGGAAGGCTTCAGCACCCTTTCTTCAACAAAGTCAAGAAGCTGAACCTTGTGACATCAGTTGGTCCATCTAGACCATCCTTCTTAGGAAGAACATGCACTCCTAGGCAGTTCATGAATACATGGTTTCTTATTCCTTATGGCACTAGGTGCATCAACAATGAACTGTCAGCGGGTGTTGAACCTGTTCAGTAAATGTCCATTCGAGAACAGGAGCATGGCACTTTCAATCTTGATTGTCAAAATTACATGCTCTTTCAACGCACTGATGATCTTCCTAATGCTCCCACTAAACACATGTTTCATCTTCACATGGAATGACTTAGTCACTTTGAATTGGAAAGAGGATATTGGGTGCTGATATCTCTAGAGCTTAGTATAAGATTGGAAGAGCTTCAAACTGATGAATTCATATGGGTCTAGCCTAAGATCCTGAAAGAAGCTGACAAGTTCAACAATGGGTATTCAGATGACCCTGAAGAAGAAGATTAGTTTTGACATCATCAGATAGGGGAGATTGTAAGGTCACACCTTATGATTTGATAAGTTAAATACTCCACATGCTATTTTTCAGATTCAGTATCTACATGCTATCAATGCCAACATATCAAGTCCATCAGCGTTAACTTCTGGTTGGTTATTCTATGTAATCTTTTGTATATTGGGTAATGATATAGATAGATATATAATAGATAGCAGATCTGATATACTCGTTATGAAGATCGGTTGTTAGTATATATATAAGATATAATCCCTTCAATCAAGGGATATCCTTGTATTGACTAGTATATAATCAACATTAGGGTAAACGCTAATGTTGAGTTCATCTTGGTGACCGTCTTTGTGACAAACCTACTTCTTGGTGAAGACAAACCCTTTCTTGGTGAAAGAGAATTTGGAGAACTCCTTGTGTTATTTACTTTCTGTTCTTTATTTTTCTTAGATTAGTTTGATTTTGCTCTTTATACTTGAAGTGTATATGATTGATACAAACCTTCAAATGGAGAGGCTCAAAATGGACTATCTTGTATGATGTTGGTATCTAAATTCTTGATATGATAATAATAATTTAATTATATTTTCTTGTAGGAAAGAATAAGCCAAGTGTGGTGTATTTTAATATGTGCATACTTAACAGTGTAGTTAACGCATATTTCTAATACTATTAGCTACAATTATGTTTATTTTGGAACAAAAGGTACTTTTTATATTTGAAATATTTTTTTTTGTAGCAGTGAATACATGCTCTAGATCAAAAGGAAGTAAACGAGGAGTAGGAAGCAAGAAAATGTGCGCTTAGGCAAGAAGAAGACACAAAAATGATGTTGTCTTGAGCTTGGGCAAGAAGAAGACACAAAAATGATGTTGTTTGGACAATATCTCATGATTTCTAAGTCCACTTGACGTGATGCAAAATGATAAGAGAACTAGACGAAATTCCAGATGACTTTCATGTCTTGAGAAAAGCCTGATTCTGAACCACCACAATGTGGTGACACAACCACGATGTGATGAATGGAATCTTCGTGATTCTTGACGCTAAACTTGGAGAATACAGGATAAACTTGAGGACCACGATCTAAACTTGAGGACCACGATCTGGTGGCAGTCAACCACGATGTTGTGACCATATTTTGGTAATTATAAATATTTCAGACACTAGGTCGATTCCGAAGGGTAGAGGCTTTAGGGCTACGACAATTAATGAAAAAAACCCATTCTAAGTTCCCTGAGAGGGCAGAATTCGACTTGAGATCAAAGGATAAAGATATTGGAGCATTGATTCTCATCTACACAATTGGTTTTCCTAGTTTAATCATGTTTAGCCTAGTTTTCCTTTTATTTATATGTTTTTTAGCTGTGATTAATGACTAAAAATCCTTGCTTTCGTTTAGATTAGATGAACTCTTAATTACTATGTGTTGATTTCTTGTTTTATGGAATCATGAAGTTAATTTTAACTTTAAATATTGTCTGATAAATCTAAACCTATCTTGTTAAAGTTTCTATCTTTATTTTCTTGTATCAAGATTGTTTAGTTAAACTGTAGTAAATTGCATGAAATTGATTTACCTAGATATTTATGGTCATTAAATTGTTAGATCTAATGATTAGTCATATCCTAGTATAGGTGATAAGTTAGTTGGTTAACTATGTTAGTGAGTAGTATTTGATCATAATATTTTCTCGATTCCAAATTAGTTTATCATTCGTAGTCCAAATTACCTTTAAAATTAGTTTAATATGCTTAACTTGCATGATCATTGGGGTTCAAGTCATTAAACTGACTTATGCTAGTTAGTCTAACCATGATGACTAATAACTTTTATTTGGTAGCTAACAAAATTAATCCATTGTGTTGAAATCAACCTTTGGAAAAAGGAGGGATTCGAAGTTAAATGAGATTATCTTTTATTCTTGTTTTTAAGTTGTTTTTATAGTGATTAATTAGGTATTTTAGTTTAAGTTTTTATGAACTTGTAAAATTAGATACCCCCCCCCCCCCCCGCGGCCCATTTTATTTGTTTTTCTTAGTTTCACTTTTAGTACTTATTTTATTAATTAAACATCGTTATCTATAATTGACACTCGACTTACCCAAACTATTTTATAATATAATGAAGTACACTATCTATAAGTGCATAATTTAGCTTAGTAGTTAGTTTGATAAATTTAAAGCTAGATATGTATATAAAGTGCACATCAATATGGCAACTGTTGTAGAAGCCTTCAAAATGGGCTTAAAAAAGACTCATTTCTACGAAGACCTTGTAATGACTTAATGCAAAAGAATGGATTAAGTATAGAGCATATCACTGAGGTTCATCGGGTTCAAAGAGATAAGGAGATCCGAAAAAAGTGCAACGCATATGATAACCCAATAGGAAAGCCAATTCCTCGGTCCAAAGATTCTATAAATCCAAAACTGATCATAATAGGGTCAATTCCCTTGAACATAAAGGGTAGGAAGAAATTTTTTCTTATATCACTGACTATTGTTCTTTTGTGGATGTTTCAAGTTTCATATTTGCTATGCAAGATCTTGGCGACAAAGCAAGATAGCAAAGAAAGGGAGAAAAGTCCATTACCTGGAAAGATAAGTCCAAATGGTGTGCATACCACAAGGACTTTAGTCACATTATGAAAGATTGAATAGCCCTCAGAAAGGAGATTAGTTACCTATTTAGCAAGGGACACCTCAAGGAGATCCTTGGAAGAATAAAAGAAAGATCCAAAGAAAATGATCAAGATCCTCATAAGATCCTATAAATACCAGGATCCCCTACTACGAATGTTAAGGTAATCAACATGATCTCTGAAGGATCTGACATTTGTGGTACTTCTTATTCCGCAGCAAAAAGACATGCCAAAGTGTTGAAAAAAAAAGAAAGAAGAAAGGCCTCAGAAGAATATATCGATCAAAAACGAAAAGGAGATTACCTTCAGTGAAACGGAGAGAACAAATGTCTAGGATCCCCAACATGATGGACAGGTGATCTCCCTTTACATCGCTAACCATATTTTTAGAAGGATCTTTTTCGATGGTGGATCCTCATTCAACATTATATTCCTGGATGCTTTAAAAAGGATGAACATCCCAAAAGCCAAAATAGTTAAAAGATGCTCGGTGCTAATAGGATTCAATGGCGAAACAAATCATACTGTCAGCGGGATAAAGCTACTTATCTACATATATGGGGTAAACTCAATGCAATTCTTTTGTCTAATTGATACATTATCCTCCGTTAATGTCATACTATATAGACCATAGATCCATAATATGAAGGTTATCCCCTCAACATACCATCAATGTGTTAAGATGCCCACTCCAAGAGGGATAGTAAAATCACAAGTGATCAACAATAATCCAAGGAGTGCTAAAAGACCTCAGTGAAATCTTCAACGGTACCATGAAAAGCATAGGAATTAAAGAAGTGGGCATGAGGTGTGCTAGAAACAAGAGAATAGGATGTAAATCAAGTGCCACTGAACCTCGAGGATCTTGAAGCCAAAATCCTCATAGGATCCTGAATACAAGAAAAAGTCGAACAAGAACTAATAAAGTTTCTAAAAGATATAAAAAACATTATCCTGTAAGCACGAGGATATGACATGTGTAGAAAAAAAATATTATAACTCATAAACTTAACATTGATGATTCGTTCAAAACAATACATCAAAAAAGAAAGAAGTGTGCACCTGAGAGAAATAAGATCATCCAAAAAGAAGTATAAAAACTTCTCAAAACAAGGATGATTAGGGAAGTGAAATTCCTAAGGTGGATGGCCAACGTGGTCACAATACAAAAGAATAATGGAAAATAGCGAATATGCGTGGATTACACGGATCTTAATGAGGCTTGTACCAAGGATCCTTCCTCCTGCCACACATGGATTCCATGTTAGAAGCTATGGCTGGCCATGAAATGATAACATTAATGGATGTATCAACAAGGTTCCAACAAATTCAAATGAAATCATCTGACCAAGAGGATGCTTATTGAGTCATATTCTGTAAGAATGAAAATAACTGAAAAAACGATGCATGATAACAAAAATGAATTAGAATTAGTGAGAATCCACTAAAATAACAATAGTTCTGTGAGATTAAACGTATTCACATTACTAAACAACATATTCTCTTAGTAGTTCTCATAAAATAGCATTATCCATACGTCCACTAAAAAACAAATTAACATGAAGTGAACTGAATTAAGCATGTTTAAGACAAGAAAACCGAATGAATAATCACAATCAAACTCTCGATCACTTTAAGACTTGCTTTGCTATCGACCTCTGGCTTCAACTGGTATTCTCTAAGTTTTCTGATCACTAGGGTTCGTCCAAAAGTTCTTGGATACTCCAGATGACAAATAAAATCCATATTTATGAGGATTTGCAAAATTTACTCCACTATGTCGTGGCAAGGTTATGACCATGATGTGGTATCGATTCCTTCGCATGTCCTCCAAAATTTCAAACTTATACTTCATCTGGTGAGTTTATCGATTGAGAACTCTTCACCACATTGTTGCAACCATATGACCACGATCTGATTCTTCAAACCCTAAAAAATTTGACATTTGTTGACTCTTTTCAACAGTCCCACTTCCAACACCACATTTTTGCTACTTTTATCCTAAGTATGTCTTCACTGCTACAAAATAGATTTTAAACATAATAAGTATCTTTTATCTTTAATTTAAGACCAAATGTGGTTAAAAACAATAAGATATCCCATAAAATGTATGACTAAATATGACAATATCCAAATACCCCATACTTGTTGTAAGATTGTCCCCAAACAAAACTGATTTTTATTGTGATTCCGTTTCAATATAACACATCAAAATCTAACTCACCAACATCATACAAAATAACCCAATTTGAACTCATTAATATGTCTTATGGTAATGCATATATTTATGTCTATATCCTAATTACTTTACAAGTCCTAAATACTTACAATCCTCATAAATGTTCCCAACTAATTTTTAACAACATTTATTTTTTGCATTCCTTCAATTTATACCCTTTTTATTACCCCCTCTCTTAAAGATTTATTACCAAGTTCCCAAGTGACAATACTTAAAAAGAAAATAGCATATATAAATATCCTTTATATCTTATTGGTACACTCACTCGTGTTTGTCAACTTTGCATGTTATAAGTGGACAAATTGGTCCCTTACATTGAAGTGAAATAAACAATACGTCTCGAGACTCGTGGATCAGATTCAAGTTACTTTGTGTTCGATTCTTGGTGGTAATCTTGTATTATGGCCATATAAACAACATCATGTTATCATTTGGTCGAGTGCCAAATCTAGTTCCACGACGTGGCTAATGTCATTGTCGAGCTGTTTATCTTTGCATTTTTCTTGTTGAACTCCATGTTTCATGTGTTGTACCGCATTTTTCTTATGTGAGAATGTCACTTCTATTTACTTTGCTTCTAGTCTTATATGATAATGACATATCAAACATATTGAAATATATTTATATCACATAATATATCATATTGTTTCTTTTCATATTCATGCAATACATGTCCCATCTTCACATTAGTTCACTTGCCTTTTTATAAAGGGTTTACCCTAAATATCCATTTTATGATTGTACATATAGCCTATGCATTAAGGATCCCATTGCTTGGACCGTAGGATTGTGTTTTAAGTAACGTATAAGTTTAGTTTATATTTTATACATTGTATAGAGATTTGTGACATTGATGTCTCTTTATTATTTAGTATATATAGTTATTGATACAATTGAAAACCCTTTAAGGGTTTCACCTCTTTCATTGTAGGAGACTAATACCCTATTCTCGAGTATCATTTAACGAGAGAATTGGAGAGAAAGTGAGGGAATCGTAGAGAAAGAGTAAACCATCGTGTTCTCGAGTTTTTTTTTTTTTTTTTTTTTTTTTTTTTTCTTTTTTGGAATGATTTGGAAAGAAAAGAAAGGAAATCAGAGGATAATCTTCCATCCTAATCTTCCTCCCAGATTGGAGAGATTTTGAGAGAAGAGAATCAATGATAAAGATAACGATACACGGTTATATAAGATCAGGTATCATTCTCAATATACAACAAAAAATCGTTGTTTCATCCTGTGTTTTGAAGTCCCTGCTGCAAGCTTCCATCATCCATCAAGTTTCATTCTTCCCCCTTGTATTTTTTTTGTTGCTAGATCGTGTTCACAATATATTTTAGAACCTTTTTTTCTCTTGTTCATTATGCTCTGTTTCTTCTTCATTATTTTTGTTACAGTTGACTTGATTCATTGCGTTAACTGTGATTATATGCCTAGAACATCACTAGTTCTTTCGTGAACATCTTTGGGGGCATGTGTAATTGCATTGAAACTAATAAAACACTAATCAGGAGAATGATTTTTCTTTATGGTATAGTACATGATCAATAGCTATACACAATGATGGTACTATGCTAGACGGATGTGGGTTGTGGGAGAACTTATGTAGAGGAAGTCGCTAAAGCCTACGTATCCTTGTAAAGTGCATAGTTTCTTGAATGCTACAGTTGCTTCCTACAATATTAAGTACTTTTTAAGTAATTAGCAAATACTATAACCAATGATATGTTGGGATATTCATCGTGTTGGATTTAGCACATGCCATTAACAACAAACTTAGTACGACACAGACTATCAAAATTATGTTATTATATTTATATTATTATATAACAAATTATAATTGAAGGCATCTAGCTTTGTAATATTTTAATAATAGTAATGTTTATTTGAAGTAAACCGCCGTGTCTATACAAAGAAGGAAATTATAAGATAAAAGGTTCCAAATAGAACTATACATGTAACATGATTGCTAAAAAATAAGGCTAAAATTGTAATGTTGTTGTTTTCCTCTTTTTTTTTCTTTCCTTGGAATACATATTGTTTTTTTATAAATTTTCTTTGGTTTCACGTGAAAAAGTTAATCATTTCCTTCCCCTCCCTTCTTTTCTCTCCATATTTTCCTTCCATTTTTTTCCTTTCCGTTATTAAAACACAGGAACAAGGTGTAAGTGTGGGAAGGATTAATTGTGTCTTTAGCATAAAGTATGAAAGTATTATTCTATAGGAAACATTGAAGGAAAAACAATAATATATACCGAGTATTATCAGATTTCATTATCAAAATGGACAAAAGGTTACTCAAACATCATTTGAGAAACTAAATTGTACTTGATAAGACGTTCACATGAGTTGCACACAGCATTTTTCAAGAAACATGCGTACAAGTGGTAGTTTGTGCTATATGTTTTAATAGTTAAATGACTGTTGCCACATAGTCAATGTTTTTGCAAACATACCTAGAAATTCATTCTTGTGTATATTTTAAAGCTGAGAAACGAATGGTCCAAGGGCTAATACGCGAAAGTCATCAATCTTGGAAGCGGTGAAGTGTAATTACCGAAGTGCCTATCAAGTATCAACCCGTCATATCGCACCTCTAATGTCACACTAACCCATAAATATCGATTGCAACTATATGGTACTGAGATTAATATACCTATTTGGCTTTTGGAACTACATCATCAGAATTTTTGCCTTACACCTCAAAATCTCACAAACGCAGTTCATCTCCTACTGGTTTGCAATTGTCATTCCTAAACCCTAAACAGTTCTCGATAATCCCTATATATTTGCATGGCTACGCTGGTGATCTTCATCCCCAAACAAACTTCTTTATTTTCATGCAAGCATCTGAAGACGAAAAGGAATGTGGAAAAATGATACTATTTCTCCTTCTCCAAGTTCTTCTGGAAAACACCCGAAATACCGGGGAGTAAGGCAAAGAAGAAGTAGTGGGAAATGGGTTTCAGAAATCCGGGAGCCTAAGTCACCTAATCGTATTTGGCTTGGTACATTTCCCACTCCTGAAATGGCTGCGGTGGCTTATGATGTAGCAGCACTGGCGCTCAAAGGTGGAGATGCTGAGCTTAACTTCCCAAATTCATCAACTTCACTGCCTGTGCCAGCTTCTTCCGCTCCACGTGACATCCAAGAAGCTGCTGCTAGAGCAGCTGGAGCAGCAGGTGCAGCAATGGATGCTTTCCTGGGTGCTCATGGTAGTGGTGTAGCTACAGTCGATCAGCCATTGATTGGAGGGGGTGGGTTTGTGGACGAAGATATGATATTTGATATGCCCAATGTACTTGCGAACATGGCTGAAGGGATGCTTCTTAGCCCTCCCCGATTTGACTTTCATAGCGAAGAGGCTGCAGGAAACTCAATGGATCATGATTTGTGGAATTAATTTCTGCAGTCACTGTATATGCATATTATTCATGTATCGTATGCAAGTCCTAGTCGGCTGTACGTCGCCACCAATATAGTAACTATATAAGAATAATATGGCGATGCTTGAAGGCTATTGTTATAAACTAGAGCTTGAAGGTGTAAAATTTATGTGTTGGAAGTTTTTCAAATTTGAAGTGTTGATTTTCTAGTGCGAAACCTCTATCTAAATCACTTGAAGATCAGATAATTAAGATTTGAGAATCTGAAAAGGAACATGAAAGCTTAATCTTCAATTCAAAGTTTTACCAATAACTTAGGAGTTCATGATCTTTCAAATAAAAGAAAAAAAAAATGAAAAAAGGGCATGCAAAGACTTTAGGCGTTTGGTCAATGGATTAATAACTAAAATATTGACTGCAACTTGTTTTAGGGTTTCTGCTTATTTCCATCCACACATCTGCAACTAATTTTGTTCCCAGTTGATCATGGTCCACCTTATCAGAAGTTGAGATGTCGTATTCTCATAAGTGATTAGTAGTTGATTTCTACAAATGAAGAGAATTTTGAGTAACACAGGGCTACTGGTATCTGGTGTTATATAACGGTTTGAATGGTTTTTAGTAGGTTGGAATATATTTGCAAATATCTTGTAGCATATTTCATAAGTCTCTCTATATTTTCCCACCAAACTGATTATTATCGACTACAGAACTTTGTACCCCTTTAGTTTTTATACTTCTGTAATTCATGCGTCTATGTTTCAGCCGGCATCAAGAAAGGATTCTCATATATGTATGCTAGTATTTGATCAACCAAGTCTAGCTAGTATTAATATTAACTATTGCCAGCATAAAACAAGATATTATGCTAACGAAAACATATTTCAAGTACCTTCAGTAGAGTGATATGATGATGGATATCCTGACGAACTTTTTCATCGATACCAGTACTAATGATACGATATCTACAAACAGTGTAAAAGATGGCTGGAATTGATCTGAACGCTAAAGGATCGGTGGAAAGATGAGTTGCAAATCCTACAGGGGAAGTTTAAGATCAAATTTCACTGCCATTTTGATTTTGAGTGAAGCCTCGAAAGCGAATTATGAGTTAGGTGTCAATTAATGCATAAATGGTATTAGTATAGATGGATTCAGGTAAAATAGTTACACAGTGATGGCTGGTCATGTCAATCAGTTTTACCCATTGCAAGGCCGTCCTTGGTGAATTCCCCATCGGGTGCAGTTTTAGCTTGGGTGGAGCCTCTTTTGGTGTTCATCATAATTGATCGGAGATATGCTTTTTTTGTGTTTGTAAATTTGTTCAACACAGTCAAATTATGTATGATTTTTTTTGTGTTTTTAAGTTGATCACCACATTCTAATTTGGCACCGAGTCACAGGTTTTTGTTATTCCTGTGTCATAATAGACAATATGTTTGTTGGTGTTCGCAAAATTGACCACCGCAGTGAAATATATATGTATACCTTTTGTGTTTCCAGTTTGACCAGCAGGCAGGCAGTGAACCACGACTTAATTTTTCTTATATTCTGTGTTTCTAAATTCAGCATAGAATATTAAAATCAGGATGGGTTTATCGGTTTCTTGGTTTTTAATGAAGAGCGAACCAAACAGAATTCAAATCCCTCTAAACCAAACCTAAAACTGAATTCCAATTCTTTTGACCAAACCAAATAATTTCTTAGAAAAATTCAATGTTGCTACTGATCTCTGCTACTCTCATCCTAAGTTTGCCTTATGGTACCTCTGACTCCACCCTAATCGGTCCTTAACTGTTGAAGGCCTCTTTGTAATGCCAATTAGCCATTACCTGAATGCAATCACATGCAACCATACCCGGATAATCCTTCGAGTAAGGGATTCATCCCTACAACGGTTATGACTCAAACAAGAGCTACGAAATAGGGTCAAATCCAATCCTCTACAATTATTCAACCCTGATCACATGTGACTTTGACATATTAATATAATAGCTAACTCCCATCACTCAAAGTCCCACAAAACACAAAGCAAGCAACATTCAGACAAAAGGGAACGATCTCAAGCAATTCTATTCTCATAACAGGAAATTGTACTAGCATACAATGCTAAGCTCATACTATCAGGCATAACCTAAACATGCTATCCTACTAATGTCTACTCATTACTAACATGCAATTCTCATAAGCTAAAACACATAAAGCAGACACATAATACATCATTCCTAGATCCTTAGTCCTATTCTAGCATGATGTTCTACTGAAACTGATAAACATAACATAAACTTTTATGGGTACTTTGGAGAATACTTACTTGAGCTCGGCCAGTCGCGCACATCACAAACTGCGTTCTTTTTCCAAAAATCTTTTAACTTATCTTTTAGAAAACCATCTCCTTGTAAAAATCTTTTAACCCCTCGATTTGAGTCCAGACACCCCCGAGGGTGTGTCCGAATCCCTCAAATCAGGGCTCTGATACCAACATGTAACGTTCCAAATTTCGAGTCCAAATATTTCATTTTTATTAACTGATTATAAGAACATTCATAAGAAAACTACATAAAAATATATCATTTCGTAAATCAATATATCATGTGTGAAAACCCAAATCAAAAAATAGTAACATGTCAGAGTACAATCCCATAATATCTCAAAAGCGGAAAACCAATATGTGTGTGTATGATGTGCTGCTACCGCGCCACATCATTTCCCTTTGCTGAAGAGGTACCTGAAACCAAAATTAAAAACTGTAAGCACGAAGCTTAATGAGTTTCCCCATCGTACCACATACCATACAATCACATAGCATACATATACTATCAGGCATATCTGGGTGCCCGACCTACCCCTTCGGTCCTGTCGATCGGATACTGCCTAGCATATCTGGGTGCTGGCCTCCCCTTCGGTCCTGTCGACCGGATACTGCCTAGCATATCTGGGTGTTGGCCTCCCTTTCGATCCTATTGACCGGATACTGCCTAGCATATCTGGGTGTTGGCCTTCCCTTTGGTCCTATCGATCGGATACTGCCTAGCATATCTGGGTGCTGGCCTCCCCTTCGGTCCTGTCGACCGGATACTACCTAGCATATCTGGGTGCTGGCTTCCCCTTCGGTCCTAGCGACTGGATACTGGGGACTATTTCACCCCTCTACTACTACCACATAACATGTAACACATAATCGTATTCTATCTAGCATGACTGGTATGACTACCCCCTTTAGGTCCTATCGACCGAAAATCTTCGGGACTGTCTCGCCTACTACTACTAGCATATAATATCATATCATACTAGAACATAACATTTCAGGTAGTAGCAACCCTAGATGAATATCACAAAGACAGTCAACTAACATACGACCCCTACTGGTGGGTCGGCATTGGTGCCTTAGACCCACCGCTACTAGAATGTAACTCACCTCGTACAAGTAGTTGTTGATAATCTGAGTGGGAAATTTATGTCTACTGCTACTCTAGAAATCCTTGGGCTATAATCCCCACAAAACACTCAGTCAGAACCTGATATCAACTGTTAGGGTAAAATGACTATTTTACCCTTGACCAAGTCCAAGTCAAAGTCAACTTCCAGTTGACCTGACTCGCCGAGTTGGGCCGCCAACTCGTCGAGTCCCTATCCTTTTAACTGTCCTCATCCACGACTCTACTCGTCGAGTTTAGAAATGACTCGACGAGTTCTCCTTCTATACGAACATCAAATAAACCTTCATCCGACTCGCCGAGTTGTATGAACAACCCATCGAGTTCATCCTCATCCTATGAACCATTCCTGTCCTCGACTCATCGAGTTGTATGAACAACTTGTCAAGTTCATCTTCAAGAGTTGAGAGATTGCCTTGGACTCACCGAGTACTAAGAACAACTCGCTGAGTCGCTACTGTCCAAGTCGCATTTCTCGATTTCTGGCGTACAACTCTTGCCCAAATGATAGATCTAGGCTCCAAAGATCGATCTAGCACGTAAAGTTATAAACTTTACGTGCATGCATGGGAGAATGAGCTTAAATGGCTCAAAAAGGGGCTCCTAATATGCATGGGGCTTTCAATGTGTTCAAAGACAGCTACTTTATGCCTTAGGGTCCCTTAATGAGCTTGGATCTGAAGCCTTAGCCTCCAACCATGCTTGCAATCATGGTTGGTCGCCAAGAATGGATCCTAGAAGCCCTAATTTCCTTCAAGAAGAGATCTAGCTTAGTAATGGACAAGGTATGAGCCTTATACGTCAGATGGACTATGAATGATGCTGAAGCTCGAATTCCTTTGGCCTCTTCTTGTTCCCTCAAGCCTTTCCTTACTTCCCTTGATAAAAAACCACCAAGATCACTCAAAAGCCTTTAGATCTTCACACACACACAGTTGGGGTCGATATGGAGGGTTCTGGAAGCAATAGGGATGAAGGGTGGCTGAATGAGAAATTTAAATAGGGTGCAAACCCTTTAGATTTTGTCCAAATAGTGCGGACTCGTCGAGTCCGGATGCCGACTCGTCGAGTCGCTCACTTAACTCCCATGTCCAATCTGCTTCTACTCGACAAGTTAGGCCACCAACTCGCCGAGTCCCATGTCAAAATGAGAAACATACTCGAATAAAAGACATACCAGGAATCGAGTGCTACAAGATTCCTCAATGCACATCTAGGTATCTATAACACCAGTCAAAATAGGTCAATAACAATCACATGTGATTATACCCATCATGTAATATGATTTTGTTAAACTAGTAATGTGATAAACTTACTATGTAGTTCATGATAAATTCTAATACAAATATGAACTTCCATACATACTTTATGACACAAATCGAAGTATACTTCCATAAGATTCAGAAAATGTAGAGAACGTCTAAATCTAACTTCACATAAGGAACATATGTTAAACTTTAACACTATAAGTCTCTATAACAAGATGGATTTAAAATAGACTTAGAATTAGATATTGGAGCCTAAAATAGAGTTGTAGTACTCATGAGTACCTACTTATGCATACATAGAACGTCAAAAAC